GGGAAAAGTTTCGGCCAGCTAAAGTGGCAATATTTGCTTAATGTATGTCTTATGTTAAAACATCTATTGCAGCAATCATGAACTATCCAACTCTGCTTGACTGGCCTAGGCGTACTTGACCCAAATCTGAATCTCGATGCTTCGAAAGATCCCACGCATTTTGGCACTCCACTCTTTCGAAGCGCAAGAGAAAATATGCTTCACCGGTTTTAGAGCTGTCCTTATTGACGTCCTTGTACAATTTCGGTGGAATGCCTAACGAGGACTCACCAGATATGCCGACTAGACTGGCATCTATTGGGTGACTCGTCGAGTGAGATAGCGCGAGCAGTCACGTCACAAGCGCAAACGTTTCCTGCGCCACAAGACAGCAAAACGCAGTGTTAGCCTAGTGCCAGCCATATAATATTCCTGCAACCCTCCACCGAACTTTCTTTGTATAACAGCGCACGTGTAGTTCTTTGCTTCTATGAAACCACCACTTCTATGAATTGTATGTCTTTCTCTTGTTTTTCCTTCTATGCTTTTTGAATGCTTGGATTTCACTGTTCCGTGTCCTAAGAACTGGGTTAATATTGACACTTGTCGCTCATACCGGTCGCTCATACGCCCCGTCATACCTCAACGGCCTGTCACTCATATCCACGTACCATGTACCATTGTTGGCCGGGTACACAACACAGGGGACCATATGAGAGTCTAATGAATTATCAACGGGCTTATAAATCGAGAATATGACCGGTTGTCTCATATGCATCAGACTCCAGCGCCCTGACGCCATTTTTTCAGCCACAGCAGCTTTATAGGCAGGCATTGAAATTACGGATAAAATTTGGAAAGAAATCACCAATGAATACGGTACTTACTTCCTCATGCGAATCGAGGCACAACTTTTTGTTGGGCAACGTTAGCTCGTCCGAAGTGTTGGCTTTGCGCAGTTGTATCAAGTACATTCGTTCATAATTGTGACACAACTGCCAGCTCTCCATGCTACCCAGGAGCGAGGTAGTAAGCGAAATGCAGACAGCCTTATTATGAAACTAAGCTATCCTCAGTATCTCCCTAGCCCTGCATGTGCCCAAGCTCCGAGTGTGTGGCCAGTGTCGACGGAGGACAAGGTTGCGTTAGAGGCCAGTGGCTAAACATCGGCTACTCCACGTTTCGCTCTCTTTCATGCTCGCTCGCTCTATGGCTCGCTCTCTTCCATGCTCGTTTGCTCTATCAGTTTAGCCGACTTCTACGCAACGGCGACCATGCTGCACGCAAAAACGGGCGTCTGAGTGCAGTGCTCTAAAACGCCCTAACTGCGCGCAAATCTAGAAGAGCAGCTTTTTTAGAGCCCTCATAACTTTCTTGGGCAACTAATACAAATACGCATGCATGGCATCGACTACGGCATAAGTCATAATTGTTTTAATGTAGAAAAAACATCCACTGTGCTATTATTTATCTTTTAATGGCGAGGTAACCGCTACAGATCTCTAAAACGTTTTGAGCAGTCTGTCTATGCTACATGACGATATTATAAATGTTAGTATTTTTGCAGGTAGATGACACCACTTGTCAATGCTGAGACTTTTGTGCCTCACCTTTTTTTAATTGCTTTCTTATGATATTAACACGCCTTCGGGTCTCCTTCAAAGTATAACTTTGTGCGCAACTAATGAAATCAAGCACCCTGTTTCGTTATATAAAGTAATGGTGTCGATTTATTAGGAACTGAAGCTCTACAGTTTGAGTGGTGAGGCTGAGGGTTAAATGTGTTCAATTTTCTTTTTTTATTTATGGTAAAGATAGTGTTAGAATAATGAGTTTTTATTATTAAAGTGGTAAATGAAATTCCGTAACCTAGTATGGACATGGGGTTAAGGTGCAGGCACTTATCGCAAATGGTAAAATAGAATGATGACAGTGACCATAAAGAAGCAGCCGCTAAAGTTAGGATACCTTAAACGATTTGAAAAGATAACCTCTAAATGCAGTGTATCAAGCAATATAGATGCTACAACCTTTTTAAATGTAGGTGCTAAAACCCAAAACTCGACCTATTTTTTACACTGCGACTTTTTGGTACCGGTTCCTGTTTTGAGCGGCATCATCGTCATCATCGGTAACGTTGCCACATGAAAGTAGTAACATCAGAAAAAACTCATGTCATCTCCCGCTAAAGGGAACCATGTGTAGATGCAAAGCTGTGAGCGCTAACGCTTACACTGGAGGCGATGTTGACGATGGCACTGATCGTGGCGTTGCCCAAGAGAGAAACCTAGGCAGGTGCAAAGCACGCAGTAATGAACCACTGTTTTTTTTTATTGGAACAAGCCATTCACTGCTAATTGGCAATGAGTCACAGAAAATTCCGTTTGGACACAGAGATCAGCAGTGCAATTTTAGTTAAGCGCTAGCTGCTAATTTTTAATGTTCAATAACCCATAGAAGAAATCTCCCACTGGCACTTCCTTGGAGGCAAAGATCCAGTGCCTATATACATGGGGTAGCCAGTGAACGGTTGTGCAGCGCGAGCAGTCTGTTTTTTTTTTTTTTTCAGTCACAGAACTCGCTAGCCCCAGCAGAAGCGTCCTGCGTCAGTGATGCGAGGTGAAAGAGGGGTAGTGTAGGGGAGAATAGAGAGGAGGAGAGGACACGCATACGCAGTGGCGGTGTAAGCGCCGCGAGGAAGAAATGGCTAGAGGAAGAAGGGGGAGCAAGCGTAGGTTTGCAGACCGCTTTGCTCGGCTTGTGAGGTGAGAGGGAAGGCGTAGAGTAGAAGAGAACGTAACACGCCCGCGTCGATGTTTGAAAGAGGGAAGGAGAGTTGCGCATGCGTAGCGCGAGTGCGTACGCCGACGCCGCGGGACATAGATTCCAGTAAAAGATGCTTCGCCTCTAAAACACCGTGAATAGAATGCGATTAACACTCGGGCCGTCTGCGTGGTGGGGAGTAACCAACATAAGGTCCACGCTGGCGCTGAAAACTGACTTGTCAAAAGACCTTATACCAGCGTAATGCTGGACAGAAATCAAGGCAACGTATGTTATATAGCATGGAAGAAGTTGAAATAAGAGCGAAATACCACACAATGCTCATTGCACTATGGGTGTGTGGTTTCACGCTTCTCACCTACTGGATGGTGCTCAGTCATATTCTTCATCCACCTACAGCATCAACATGGTAGACATAATATGTTTTAGAAATGTAGCGCGTACCTAGATTTTCTGCAGAAAGACGAATACAGGCGTAGTGTGTGGTATCCTGCCTCACAAAAGTTAAGACGTATGGCGCAGTCGATAAATTTAGGAAGGCCAAGACTTCAAACACAATTCGCCTTGTACCAGCCCGAAGCTCAGCTCGGAATTGGCATCAGGCAGGATAGTAATCGTTGGTTATTTTTCAACAGTAACTGCTTTAGTGATGTTGCCAGCTAGAGGCATGGGACTATGAAGCATGCTGAAGTGGATGGCACTGGAATACTGCAGAGTTTAGGATTCTTTACCGCATATATACATTCACATCGCGCAGTACAAGGGTCTGCGGGATCACGCCTCTATCGTAATGCTGCCACCGCGTCTCTGCTTAGCAGCGCGGCGGCTTAGCCTCACTGTCAGTGCCATTTTTTTTTCAATTGTATGCCATCTCCACTATACTGGTTTCTTTTTTTCGGCGTAGTATCAAGAAGATAATTTCTCCTGCATGCTCTGCCTTTTCGGTGAAATCGTACTGTAAAGGTTTAGAATGGCCAACAGAAAAGTAATGCTTCCTTTTCGTTACTGAGCATGGTACTGAATTCATAATTATGAATGTCAACTTCTTAATCGGCGCTTTTCAAACTCGAAATGTCTGATATAAAAATTATCGCCTTGTGTGAATGATAGTGAAACTCTTTTGGCACAAATAGTTATTGGTAGCACTACATGACAAGCATCATAGGCCACTGTGATACTTCCGTTACAACGCTCCTAAACTAAAGCAGTAAACTTCTCAGCTTGATTGCTTACTGCGTCACTTATTCTGTATTTGCTCAGGTCATAAACTATGTGTTAAAAAACGTGTTGCATTCAGAATCAAATAATTACGAGCATCTTCTTTTTTTCAGTAAAGCAACAGAACAAGACAGTTACAGGTACGTAGGTCTATAAGATTGATATTCAGCCAAACCCTTTCGTTGAGAACTATTCAAATATTTTTATCTGCATAATTGAGTTCTTAGCTATTGAAGAACGTTTCTATATATCGTGTTAGCAGACAGCCGTTCATAGCATCACCATTAAGTCTAGGCACTTGTATCGACTCAAAGGTGCTTGTTCTCGGCCCAAAGCTGGCCATCACCTCATATGAACAGAATACGTTTATTGGAGCAGCAGCTGCGAAATGCTGCCTCCAAGCACATGACGTACGTGCGTCAGTAACAGGTTCAAGAAGGGGGGCCATGACGAAAGAATCCGCAGCGACAATAACGGCGACTCCAAAATGAACCTATAGAAACTTAGTGCGTGAAGACGTGATTAACTCGGGTAATTTTATACAAATAGCGAGCCTCTTAACGCCGTGAAGTTTACTGATGTGTAATATAGTACTGACTGTACTTTAGCGTGCAAGTGGAATAAACAAGTTTGAATAAGTCTGTCTATTAGGGATAGAAAGCTCGTATGATAGTATGATAAGCCAACACACACACGTGCGCGCATATGCGCATATATATATATATATATATATATATATATATAATATATATATATATATATATATATATATATATATATATATATACGAGATCTAACAGACAGTAATGCCAAGGAATGTACAGGGGAAGTTATTAGAACCAATGGAATCTAAATAAGAAGAAAGAAAAGCGGATTAAAAAATAACCAGCCATGAGCAGGCGCTCCTGCTCACGGCTGGTTATTTCTTCATCCATTTTTCTTCTTATTTACATTCCATTGGTTCTAATAACTTCCCTGTACATTCCTTGGCATTACTGTCTGTTAGATCTCATTAATATTGTGTCAAAACACGAAAAAACAAGCCTCTAGGTATACACGTCTTTCCCATATATATATATATATATTATATATATATATATATATTATATATATATATATTATTATATATATATATATATATATATATATACGTTTCTAAAAAAAACTATTTATTGGTGACGTTTTGATCGGAGGAGACCCATCTCTTTCAGGCAAAATTACTAGGCTCAAATGCGCTTTTACGCCATCGTCCAGCGAGAGAGAGAGAGTGGAAAAAAGAGCACACATAAATGAGTGGCTGAACAACCCATGCTTGGCCACTCGTTTTCCTGTGTTACAGTACGCAGAAAATGTTACCCTAGTAATTAGTTTCACTAATGATTGCACGAATTTTATTGTTAAAGAAATAAACTGCGGCCCTCAAATTCAAATTACGTTCCTACATCCACGTTTTACTGTATCTTCAACTCGGATTATAAGAAATTTGTAATTGCTACAAGATGAATTCTGGCACTTAGCTTACTTATTTAGGAACATGAGAGGTTGGTGTCAGGTACCAGAATTAAGAATCGATTATTGCCTAAGCACCCAATGCTTTCTTTACTTTACTGCTTCCATGCATAATACAGCAATGGCATGGTTTAAAAAACATCGAGGTGAAAACATCCCATTTTCCGAAAAACATTGATGTGTTGTTTGGTTGAACGTTGAAAAACTGGCTCTTGGACTGATTGAGTGAGTAAGAGTATCACTTACACTTTCGTTTTCACAGTATCAACAAAAACACTTGAGGTGGTTAGATACCCTCTCTTTCAGGTCCCTCTCGAAGGGAGGCTTCATGAATGTACTCAAGTGCTGAACAAAGGTCGAGTGACATTCAGACTCGAGTAGCTGTCACTAAAAAATGGCAATTTTTCGCTTATCTGCACAACGATGGGATTTGTTGGTTCTGGTATGTTTAAAATCTCGAGTACAAAGCGTTGGGACTAAAAAAATGGCAATTTTTCGCTTATCTGCACAACGATGGGATGTGTTGATTCTGGTATGTTTAAAATCTCGAGAAAAAAGCGTTGGGGTAAGGCATGGTGCGATTTGAAATGACTGCAAAAAAAAAAAAAGGAGGAGCAGCTCGAGGAACATGTGCCTTTTCGATTCAAAAAAGTGAAAGCACAGAAATTGGGAAGACGGATGATTTAGGACAACATGAAATTCACGCTCGTGTGGGGTCGTTCTGACTAGTTATTATCCTTAATTTCATGCTCTGTTATTTTCTTTTGAAAACTAAAATTTGCCTACTAGGCCACACATTTATACTTTAACTTCTTATAATTTCCCTAAGTAATGTATAAGCATGACATTCTTGTAAGAAACTATGATTGTAACTTTGCGAAAAGGCTCTTGTTCAGCCACAACTGGAAAGCTGCTAAAAAAGGGGGAAATATAATAAAAAAAACTCGTCTTATGTTACTGGCGTGATTATGGTCACACATCCCGACAAAGCTTTTCAATTTATGCAGATTAAAAAAACGCCCAAACTTATGGCAATAAGCCTTTTCATGTGCCTTTTGAAGACACCTTGGTACCGAAGTTTTCTTTTTTACTGGAAAGCTGCTAAAACAGGGGGAATAATAATAAAAAAAACTCGTCTTATGTTACTGGCGTGATTATATGGTCACACATCCCGACAAAGCTTTTCAATTTATGCAGATTAAAAAAACGCCCAGAACTTATGGCAATAAGCCTTTTCATGTGCCTTTTGAAGACACCTTGGTACCGAAGTTTTCTTTTTTACTGGAAAGCTGCTAAAACAGGGGGAATAATATAAAAAAAACTCATCAATACTTGGTTAAGCTCCATATCCACACTCCGAAGAAGGCAGTTCCATTTATGATTTCATTTTTAAAACAGTTTATTTTTGAGACAGAGATATGCGCAGTTTTCTCGTCTAGCTGGACGATAAATGGGTCCGCATTTAACGATTCTTCTAAATACCTTCTCAAGTAACTCTATTTTCTGAATAAAAAGCCACCTTCTGCATTGAAGCCTCTCAACACTTTTGATCTTACGCTGTTTATATCCGTTTATTTCATATTACTGCTTTCATTGTGTCTTTGCCCAACGCTTGATCAATTCGTATACATACGCCCAACAACAATGACGTTTGCACGTACAACTAACTGTTCGACATCCCATTGCCTTATCACGTGTGGCTGTAGCCGGCGGCTGTAACGATTTTCAAAGCAGCGAAGAATGTCAGAGAGATTGCTTCAATGTTAACCAAGTAGTAAAAGAACATTGGCCTGAAAAAGATCTGAAAATAGTATTGCGTGAATATATTTGCAAGTGTACTTACAAACCCAATTATTGCAGCACTGCTTGTCAATCTGCCTTTTTAAATTACTTTTCGTTTTGAATGCTATCACGTGCCACTGTGCTTAGGTATAAAACAGGACAAGCTATGGTCATACATTATGTAGTGCACTGAATTCCAAGCGTTAAAAACTCTCTATGAATCTGACCTCTTCGGTGTCGATTTTCTTATTAGATGTGCATATCTTAAGATGGGTCTATTTAAAAAAATATACCACCGTTTTTATAGCTGATTTTAAAAGATAATGAAAGCCTACTGTAGCTGTGGAATACACTGCTGTTGATCAAGAGTAAAAACTGAAAAACAAACGTGGTTGTGAACGAAGTAGAAACCGCACAATCAAACGGGCAAGGATGGCTTTGGCATGTATGGCGCCTAAGTTGTCCTTTAAAAGCCGGTGCTCAGGCACACCAAAGTATGGTGTAACAGCCTCAGTGGCGAAAGAGGTGGTAGCCGCAGACTTAACCTGGTAATACAGCGTGAATAGCACCTCACGTCTTCCCACAAAAAGAGGTTCCAAGAGAGTGCAACAGGTAAAGTAACTGCCTCAGTCTCCAACAAAGTAATCGTAGCTCAAGGAAACAGGAAGGGCGGCTTGAGCTATATTAGCACCTAACGTCATAGTAAGAGAGGTGTGTGCGGCATTGGCTACCACACATCCTTTAACATGCATCGCTCTTCTATAATGACGTATTGTAACGTTGTATTACACGTGGTATAGACACTCATGGTATAAAACAAATATCATAGAATAATCACAAGAAAAACACTGGAGAACCACGTCTCGTTTTTCTGCCAATTTGACACGTTACACAGGGGTAAATTACCTAGTTCTCTCTTGTATTTATGACCAGATGTAAAAAAGAGCAAGAAACCGTTCTGTTTATTTTAAGGCAAACGCCTTACTGTTCTCTATTTTAAGCTCTAGTGGCGAATAATAATGAAGTTAAATTTACTTGCTCCAGACTCATTGTACTTCAGCCCTAAGGTGGGTGGTCTCCTCAGTCCAGGTAGACACGGCTTGCTGCCACCGCCTGAGCCCTGTTTACCAGTCATGGCTAGTTGACAGTATCTTGAGTCGTGAACATTTAAGAAACATTGCGTGTACGTGTGAGCTCTGCGTCCAGATCAGCATTGCTGCATTCACATGAGCAAGAACTAAAACTTACAGTATATCCATGAAGTGAATGACGATTAGTAGGGCAAAGCGTCATGCCGTTCATTGGTTCATGTGTCCGTACATTCAAGAATGCATCAATGCGTCCGATCACGTTCGAGATGGCCGACGGCGTGCTGTAACACTGACGAGACGCGAGCCAAGGAAGCCGAGCACAAGCGTCTTCAACGCGCCCACCGCTCTGCTTCGTCCATGACCCACCAATGATCCGCCACGTACGGCGACTATCCAGCAGACTGATGGAGGCACTCCTTCCTCACGCACCCACGCACAACCCAAGCGGCTGCCAATCAAAAAGTAGTGGTCAGCGCCATCTATATTATCCTCACTCAACGGCAGTTTGCATGTACGTGCACTACACTGTTCGAGAGATACGGCCTTCTTTCCTTTCTCGTGTCTTCGCCTTTCAGTCATAACATGGTTAGACTGAAGGAGCTCTGCCCCTTAAAAAATCACCGCCAAAGCACACCACATGAACAGTTAACCATGCAAGCTGAAACGTGTGGCCCCGGTGTTTACCACTGGATTGAAGGTGACGGTGCACTTAAATCATTCCCAAATATTGATTACGTTTTCACGCTTCTTCGTAGCGT